AAATATATCCTAAAGACATCAGATCCTGACTGATCTTGGAAGTGAAGCACAGTAATCTCTGGTTAGTACTTGAGTTGGATTCTACCAATGAATACCCAGTGTTGTAGGCTACATTTCAGAGGCAGGAACTGGCAAACCTATTTCTGAGTATTCCTTTCCTAAGAAGCCCCTATGAAACTCACAGGGTTGCCATAAATTGACAGACAAGTTAAAGGAGCATGCACACACTCACACCAGTGAGGCTGCTGAGGTTGGTGTCACCTGGTGTGTAAGTGTCACCCAATGTGGTCCGCATCCCCTGCACCCACCTAGTGCTGCCCCCCCCCTCTTTGCTCCTTTCATTAGTGTGATGTATATTGGTTAGGAGACATGAAATGTTCCAAGATGTTACAAAGACATGAATAGATCCTTTAAAAACCAGGGAACTAGTGCTGGTCTGTATGAGCCTTTACAGGTTATTTCTCTTTCAAGAGTAAATTTGTTCAAAGCTTTATCATTTTAGCTGGCACTCTCAGATTTTGGATAGTGCTGCTCCTAGCACTGCTGTAAGACAGTTCTGTCATGAATGGATGAGGAAGGCAGACAGATGTGTGAAAGTGTAGAACATTAGCAAGTGAAAGATGATGATGATGATGATGATGATGATGATGATGATGATGATTTCATATCCTATTTTTTCCTAGCATTGGGACACAAGGTGGCTTATAGAAATTGAAACATAATCTGATCAAAAGTCAAACCAGTAAAGGGAAATACATTTTTTTAAATAAAAGACTTGCTTTTTCTTACAGAAAGCACTCAAAGCAATTCACAAGAGTAAAAAAAAATTAAAAAATTAAAAATTAAAAACAGCACATGCCAAAAAATTAAATTAGACCTGCCTACTAAGCCTTCATGAACAGAGCTGTTTCTGGTGATATTTGTAAATAATGGAAGACGATTAATATTTCTGCTTGCAAGTATTGCCAAGAAAGTCAGTATTAAAAAAACAATACCATATTGCTTTGTAGCAAACTGCCTCAAGAAACGGAGCACTTAGATGGGTGGTGGGGAACTGTAGAAGACTAGGGGAAACCATGGAGGGCTGCATCTCCTCCCGCAGTGGTGGTGATGATGATGATGATGAGCCAAATGTCATCTCCCCATGCCTCTAGCATGCATGGGGAGAATTTTTAGCCATATTTTATGGCCTGTCCTGGGTCTAAATTGGCATCTTGGGATAAAAAAGGTTGCTGTTTCCCCCTCAAAAATTGTTTTTGACCCATGATAGTAGGGGGCATCAAAATGTGGAAATGCCTTCTACCTCCCCTACAGGACATTTGGGGAAATATTGGAGGAATGAGTTTGTTTTTTATTTTTGTTTGCAAACAAAATCATCCTTGGGGCTGTACATAACTCATGGGCCATACATTGCCACCCCTGAGTTAGACATATTGATGTAAGTGGACACAAAAAAGGATTTTACACTCCCAGTTATCAGAACTAGGTTTGTCATTTCAAGATTGTCCCAGGCACTGAGATTTCTGGGCCAAAACCTAAGACCTGGAGACAGCCCCTACTTTAGTAAGAACCAAGAAGAGTTGTTCATAGCTTGTCTTTCAAACATACGTACAGAGAGAATGCATTTTCCTGTTTGGAAATTAAGACACAAATCCTTTTGGAAGACAAGATAAGAAATGTTTAACCTAGACTACTCGCATCTAGCCAGAAGATAGATGCAAAAGAGAGTATTGAGCAGCTGCACCACAATGACTTGGAGGGAAGCCTCTCCCCCCATATCTCAACAGTTTTTGGAAGTTGCAGCAACAAATCAATTAAACCTTTCAAATTTGTAGCAAGCTGTTGCTAGCTGAGCTGGAGATTTGCACACAGCCCTTTCCTCTTGTGTGCCCACCAAAATTGGAGAATGTACATCCTTATCCCTTGCCTGGAGATGACCCAAGAAGGAGACTCAAGGCTAGGCCCTGTGATCTGGCAACACTAATGAGAACCTCTCATATCATAAAGCAGGGGTAGGCAACCTTTTTGAGCCGGGGGCTGGGTTGCTGTCCCTCAGACAATTTGGGGGCCGAAGCACCAAAAATAAATAAATAAATAAATATAATTTTTTTTAATTTAAAAATTTTAAAAATTTAAAAATATATGCATGCACACTCTGTCAGCCCCAGAAAAGCCATGGCAAAACCCCTGTGGAGATTTTGCCAAGAAAACCCCAAGAACAAGTAATAACAACAATAATCAATATCATCATGGCGGGCGGGGGGGCGGCGGCAGCGGCAGGACCGGCTTGGGGCCAGTCCAAAGGCCTCAGTGGGCCGCATTCGGCCCCCGGGCCTTAGGTTGCCTACCCCTGTCATAAAGCATGACAGTAGACGCCATCACTTCCTGCCTCATTTGCCATTCAACTTAGGTAGGAGCTACATATCACAAAGCAAACATGGAATCATTGAGCTGGAAGAGACCCCAAGGGCCATCCAGTCCAACCCCCTGCCATGCAGGAACACAGAATCAAAGCATCCCTGACAGATGGCCATCCAGCCTCTGTTTAAAGACCTCCAAAGAAGGAGACTCCACCACTCTCTGAAGGAGTGTGTTCCACTGTCAAACAGCTTTTACTGTCAAGAATTTCTTCCTAATATTTAGGTGGAATCTATTTTCATGTAGTTTGAATTTATTGCTCTGGGTTCTATGAGTTCTCATATTATCTGGAGCTGCAGAAAACTAATTTACTCCATCCCCAGTCTGACATCCCTTCAAATATTTAAACAGTGATATCATATCACCTCTTTACCTTCTCTCCTCCAGGCTAAACATACCCAGATCCCCCAGTCTCTCCTCACAGGGCATGGTTTCCAGACCTTTCAGCATTTTGGTCACCCTCCTTTGGACATGATCCAGCTTGTCAATATCTCTCTTCAACTGTGGTGCTCAGAACTGGACACAGTATTCGAGATGAAGCCTGACTAAAGTAGACTAGAGTGGCACTCTATTACTTTCTTCGATCTAGACATTATGAAGCTCCTGATCCTATGTTTACTTTGTGTGGACCAGAATATGAAAATGTTATTGTTTTGTTCTAGAATCCCTCAGTCATGTGCTCAGTCATATGGACTGAGAGATTCCTACAGTTCTCATCCAAAAGAATAACTATTTCATGCTCTTGTGTATGCCATGTGGGGTGGGGGAGGAAATCAGGGGTATAACAACACACTTGACCCTTCCCACACCTACCCCCTCCTCTCTCTTTGCAAGCCAAACTTTTAGTCCACAAATCCAACTGCATTGGCATGGCTTCCATGTGGAAAGCTATGCCAGACCCAGTTGCTTTTAGGATTTCACATTCCCACGGATAAGGAATGCATTCACATTAATTGTGTTTTCAGCACATACTGTGTATGTATATGAAGAATGTCTCTATTACCTTTTATGTTGCCCATTGAAAATAACTTCTGGAGGGAGATTTCTTTCAAATTTCGCAGAAAGATCACTACAGAATATTGTGATATTTCCTTTGAGCGATTTTTGTTGTGAGATTTCACACAATATATCACTTTTGCTATTGTAGAAAAGAAGATATGGTTGAATTGCCAGTAAGACTTTATATTTTTCATCTGCTTAAACTATGTTCTTTGTGGTTTGTGCTTTTTTTTGTGGAATGTTACAGTTACTTCTAATATATTGTACTTGCAAACATTGTGGCTAGCATCCTGTTGATTACTCACAACTAGAAGAGATTTAGGAATCTGCACTGCAGAATCAATGCAGTTTGACACTGCTTTAA